TTGTATGGTAAATCATGAAGAGAGGTATTTTTTCTGTGGATGTCTGTCTTGGCCCATTGCTACTTTAGATTCGGATCACAACCGAATGGCCACAATGATACAACATGATATGATGGCCATGCATGCAACGCCCCGTTATCATCAAGTCAAAGTCCATCTACCCATGACCTGCAAATCTCTAAGGTCGACTTTTAGTGCCCCATTAGTCGGCGTTCACTGCACCTGCCATTGATGCAATAAAACGCCATCAAGCCGCCACTAACCTTGAATTGTTCAAAGTCGATATAGTTTACCACGGGTTGGGGATTTCTAGTTTGTTGACTGTTTAGCCAATGTCCGCGCAACTACGAGATGCAGGTGATTAGTTCCTCCTTGCATTGCGTTGCTAAGACGAATCTGGGCCACCAGCGTGGATCTTCAAGTCGGCAGAGCTATAATAGTGGCAACGACCTTCTTTAAGCTTCAGCTAAGTTTTGCAACATTTTTCACTGCGGGAATCTCATCATGTTCATCTCCAAAGACTGTTTCATAAGGTAGAGCTTCCTGAAGTGGTTCGATTCAATTACAGCTTTAACAAAAAGCTATGTGAGTGTGACGAACTGTCGGTATGTCTTCTTCGAGAGAAGCTCTCCCGGTTACGGGAACTTACACATTTGCCTAACATTGTGCCTACCACAGGTAACAATCAGAATGAATTCAGTAACTAATAGTGAAACTCCACCACCACGTTTGGTGTATATCAAACCGCTAAGACCTCAGTCCATGGGAACACCCTCGTCTATCAATCCTACACTGTTATCGCGTCGCCGGACGAGTAGGTCTCATAATCATTGCACAATCGATACCGTACCAGAATTGAGAAGATTCAACAGTTCAGGTACCAAGTCAAGTGGAAGAACGAGACCTCGTCAAACGACTAGTCAAAGCTATGGATCTTTGGACACAGCATCACCTCGACGTGAAAGAGAGACCATGAAAGATTTATCCGAGTTCCTCATGTCTTACGATCCCCCGGCGCATAATCTAGTTGCTCTCCCACAAACCACTCCGAGAAAAAAGTTTGGTCTTCTCCGCAGGAAACAAAAGAAAGAATCGAAGTCTAATCAGTTTCTGAAACTCCCCGACACAGCTATTGCTGCCAAAACTCGTCAGGGCGTGCAGTATATAGCAATTTCGATACCGCTAGAACACGATTACCTGGGGAGACTTCCGACACCTCCTGAGGCGACTTCAAATTTGGCACGGGTGCCAACACCCGATAGAAGCCCTGTTATTATCCCCAAGCCGGGCTACAATGCTGGAGATTCTATTACACCTCCACCGGAACTTCCTGTACTTAATAGAACCACTTCAACCTCCAATAGAAATACTTGGGGACCAGGTACTTTAAAGAAAGTAGTTACAAAACCAGGGTCGGAAGAGGTAATGCTGCAAAATGGATACATCCATCGAACTAGTCAAGTGTATCCCCCTACTGGAAGTATTTACCACGATGCTCCAGAAACCCGACCTCGACCGTATTCATCAAAAGCATTTTCCTCGCCCGGCCCTTCATTCAAAATAGCTCCAACAGATAATCCTCGAGCAAATTCCCTCAATTCCGTCAGCCGTCCAATACTCTGGAGCAATAGACCTGACGGCCCCTTGCGAGTAATAAACAGAACACCATCTCCCGACATCAAACCGAGTTATCAGACTCACAAAGTAATCAAATCAATATCAACTATTCATAGCATGGCAACCACAGGAACAAATGTCAGACACTCGCTAAAGTCTACGCCAGATAGTTTTAATACGAACTCCTCGGCGCAAGCAGTGTTTGGAACGGCTGAAACCGTTGATCTGCAGAGTTTCAGAGGTACTCCAAGGCCTTCGATTGCTTCACCGGGAAATGAGGATATTATCCAGTTTCCTGCGGCTAGTGCGGTGGAGGCAGAAGGTCTATATAGGAACCAAGCGACTGCTTCCACCGATATTTCATCACCAATCAGCCCACAATTTGACAGTCATGAGAAACAAATAGATCAAGCAACACAGCAGAGCCGTCGCGAGAAAGTACGAGCAAAGAAGGAAAAAGATTTGGCCTCTATTCGCTCAAGAAACTCGAGTGTGGATCACACAAATATAAACACAAACACGGATACAAACAAAGCATCCGTTCAATCCGTCCCAGAAACTTCTTTCATCGAAGTCAAACCTTTATCTCCACTATCATCGAATCCAACATTTGGACCACCAAATCGCTCCCTGAAACGCCTCGCCCCAAATACGAATGAACTGTCTACAACTCGTATAATGCTCGTGGCTGACTTCCCACCTTACATGGGAGAGTTAAGACAGAATGATTTGGGAGCATGTCCCATTTCGCCTGCTCTGACGATGAAGTCGCCTTCGAGACTTCCAAGACCTACGTTTGACTCAAGAACCTCTTTTTATCGAGTTGACAGTGAGGAATCAGCTTATGCGCATCAGTCTACTCAGACTATTTTAAGTCACACTACACCTTTAGCGTCGACGACATGGTTAGGGAAGGAAAGGGACGGGAGAAAGAGTAGTGATGGGTTCGGTTATGGACGGATGGATCTTTCTTCTGATGAGGATTTGAATTATTTGAATGGGGATAGACTTGGGGAAGTAGACAGAGATATGAATGTGAATATGGAGAGAAGAAGCACGGGGGAAATAGGAACAAGTCTACGATCGACAAGCTTGAAAGAAAAAGAATTGGATGTGCGAATGAGGATTGTGGAGAGACATACTGATGTGCTTTTGAGGACGTTGGGAGGAATTGCGAAGAGTTTTGATGGATTGAGCGCGGTGGGAAGATTGAGGTGGGAGGAGGTTCATGAGAGGAGTGTGGGGGTGGGGATGGGGTCGAGGTCGAGTGTTATTGGGATGGAGAGGAGTGATGGGGAGAGAGGGAATAGGATGGCGAGTGAGGGGAAGGGGAATAGGAGGAGAGCTAATACGACAGGGATGGGGATGGGGGTGGAGAATAGGGATAGGGATACGGATATAGATTTGGTGATGAGGGAGATTCGGATGGCGGCTCCGAGGGTTAGTGAGGAGGGTTCGAGGGAGAGGAGAGGATGAGTGAGCAACGGGTTTGGAGTGTTTCTTTAGGGAAAGAAAGGAAAGGGGAAAATGTTATGGTATCAATTTAATTGAATTCATCTTACCTTTGTTAAATAGCCATCTAATAGTTAATCCCTTTTCATTTACAGCCATTCTGTCAATCCTTCACTTACATGCTTTCTCTCCATTTTCTCTCCCTCTTCCTCTTCCTCTTCCCTCTCAAACCCCCCTTCCTTACAAATACCACAAGAAAAATAACATCCACAACCCTCCCAACATCCCGCTATCTAAAACACACCATCCTCACCACATCACCATATCTACACAACTAAACACCTACCTCTTCCAAACAAACAAAGCATACACACTACTGGTTTGAACCCCTTATAATATAGTTAGTACCTCTAATGTTTCCGACTTCTAGCCAGAATTGAGGTATGTATATCACATTGTCTTTATTTGAAAACTACCAAAAAAGCAAATCTTTTTAACTATCTTCTTATTGTATTGTATTGTATTGTATTGTATTGTATTATACATATCTCCTCATACCCATAACTCCATCCTCTTCACCACTTCCTGTTAATATCTCATTTCTCTCCTCCACATCCCATTACTCCTTCTCCCTCAAAATCTCGGAATAGAATTATTCTCTAAATATACAAATGTGAATTCAATATCTTGTTGTCCTCTTTCTTTCTTGAGAGAGAGGGAGGGAGAGAGAGAGGGAGGGGGAGGGAGAGAGAGAGAGAGAGAGAGAGAGAGAGAGAGAGAGAGAGAGATTCCAATGAATATCAATAACCCAACAAATTAACCCTTCCTCGGAATTCTAGTTTCTTTTGTTGTTGTGATTACTTTGTTATTTGACATTTGACATTTGACATTCGTTATTGGGTTTATGTTTATATTCGTGTTTATACGATACGCACCTAGTAGTTACTTGAATGTTTGCTGGAGTGTGAATATTGCATGTGATACGATCGAGTTGACTGAGGAAGATATTAGGGAGATATTCAGGAGGATATTTAAGAAGATACTTAAGAAGATATTTAAGAAGAAAGGAGAATAGATAAGATTCGGGGTAGAGAATAGAAGAGAGAAAAGAGAAGGTAAAGAAAGAGTAAAGTATTTATCGTGTATTTGTATAGAACTTTCTTTTGAGAAGGGAGGGGAGAAGGAGTATTAGGACTGAAGAGGTTAATGCTGAGATGGTTATATAAGGATGGGATAAAGGTATGGAAGGTATGGCATTTCGCAGTGGTGTTGTGGAGAGGGGAGGAAGGGTATTCGGGTGAGGATAATGTTCATTTATGGTGTCTGTTGGAGATTATGGGGATAGCGTTGTGTGTTTTAGAAGCAGATGGAGAAGATATAAATTTCACCAGTATCTCGCTGTGTAGATACGAGAGACAGTTCTACACGAAGGGAAATCCAAAGGAATAGCATAGCAGTAAATCCAATTCATACCTCCAGAATTGCCATATTAAGTTCGTGATGAATACTCACATTGATATTGCGTCTCACAACTTCACATATCACCTTCAAAAAGTAAAACATAGTGTAGTAATGTAATGTAATGTATCATAATCATTAAACCTCCATTCCTTCCTCTCTCATCTCCAGTAAATGCAAGCGCGTGCGCAAGCAAACCATGCGTGAACTCATCTCCGCTTTCCCACCCATCCACCATCATAATTAAGAGAAAAGAAACCGGGTATCGAGTCGAATCGGAAAAAACAAAAATAGCTCTCCTCTCTCTCTCCCTCTGCCACACATCCATCGTCCATCAAACATCTCAGGTATCATAAAGCAAACTCGCAACTTCGCATGCACTCCTTCCCCCATTCATCTCTTCAACAGTAGTTGGTCGTGTCGAGAGATTGTGAATACTAGAAGTACCCCTCGCGCAAAGGCAAGGGACCCTTCTAAACATGACTTGTCGTATGTCTACCTCTTCTCCTACCGCCGCAGCTTCCGCAAGTCAAGCAGGAGATGAGGACATCGAAGAAGGCGACGATGGCGTTGATGATGCCGGTGAGGATGGCTCCGATTCCGTTAACGACGGCCATGAGACCAGCACCGATGGCGCGGAACATGCCAGTAATCTAGAGGGGATGTTAGTTTGTATTCTTTTGTTTTGGAGGGAGAGTTGGTATGATTTGTTGATGAGATCAATAGATCTAAATCAACGAAATGCAAAACCGTGGAGAGTGGAGAAAGCAGAAAGGTAGAGAGAGACATACACAAGAAACGACGGCTCCCATTTTGATTGATTTGTGTTTGTACTTTGTGTAGTAGATGTGTGTGTGTGTGTGTGTGTGTGTGTGTGTGTGTGTGTGGCTGATTGAAACTCAAGAGTATTTCGAGATTGATAGTTGTTTGTGTGTTGATAGAGGAGAATCGATGGATTGGATTGTATGTTTGTATGATATAGAGAGAGAGAAAAAGAAATCAGAAAGAATGAGAAACATGGCACTCTATATATTTGATTCCCTCACCACCTCTCCAAAACCTGCCGTCTCATCCTTTCCAATCAAATGAGCCCATAGTAGCGTCATACCATAATAACAGTACCTCCCCTCCCTAGTCACAATAGTCATAAAATCAAATCCGGCCCAAGACCTGTCAATATTAGGTCAATCCGGTACATCCTTTGCCCAGTACCGTACGTACCCTTTTGCTCTGTGCCCTGTCCTGCCTTGCCTTGCCTTGCCCGGGAATTAAAATTGTCCTCAAAATGATATCGGAGTGACGTCACCATCAGAAATTTTGTCGCATCAGATTTTCTTTCTTCACTCTTTCTCTCACACTTACCGATGCCAACCTGGTTCTTTTCCTAGTCCCTTGCTTCCTCAATCCCTCTGCCTTTACCCAAAGAAGAAGAACTCATTTCATTCACTTCATCCATTCACTCTCATTGGATACAGTGGAGTCGGAAGGAATCACACACCAACGTCTCGCATTTTTCTTAGTTTTTAGACTTAAATCAAAATCAAGGCATGGCGTCTGAGCAAGTCTCCGTTTTAGGTATGCCATGGCGCTGATTACGGGGATTAATTCCCGTGATAGGGCCTAGAGTGGTAATTGTGGCGCGTCTCATGAGACTAGTGATGTCAGCCACTGTGGCGTTTGTTTTTCTTCATGTCACTAGCCACATGAGCGGATGCATTTTTAAGTTTGGGAAGTTTTAGGGCGATGTTACTGGAGGGGAATAAGAGGAGATTGTAGATCTGATATTGAACCTTTGGATTTGATTTTTCTTATCTGACTCGGATGGATGAGATGATGCTGCAATGGAATTCGAATAAAGAAAGGATGGGATGAATGGGTCAATGGATGGATGAATATTATCGAGATTAATGGTCATTGCTCCTTGCTCTCTCGGTCTGTTTCTCAATTGACTGGCCTATTATGACGTCGTTCCCCAGACCAGACCAGACCTGGAAATTATGAGAGTTGACCAGATGAACCCATCAATGCCAACAAGGCCTGTCCCGACTCCTGCTTGATCAGTGCAGTGTTTTCTTCTTAACTCACACTTCATATTACATTCTCTCATCCAATAAGAAAAGGTCAAGAAAAGATCAAGAAAAGAATTCGAACATGGAGATGGAAATTTTCTTGGATCCACACTATAGTGACCACACACTTTCGTGAATCGTGAATCGTGAATCGTGAATCGTGATGCGAGGTTATCTCATCTCATGGCTGACAGCTTAGGAAACGGCACATTTCTCCGATGTTCTGATTACATTGTAATTCGCACTACATTTGTATGTATATGTATGTATCTAGCAGGTGAAAAGAAAAGGTCATTTTATTTGCATCTGGTCTATATGTGGTCACCTATACATATCCAAGGCATTCTTCCTGGTCAGTAATCTCATTTTTGAAATCTAGATTTCCTCATACCGTTGGAAGACAAGTAGACCGGGGTAGGATACATTGCAGCACCAACTTCATGATATCCAGACTGTCTGTACATTCATTTCTGCCCAAAACGATACACATCTATTATGCGTAGACTTCTTACATCACGAATGACTGCATGCTACATGTACATGAATCCATATTCATCCATCTCACCCACGATAGCATAACCCAACTCCCGATCCTTGACACCAAACCATGCATGTACGATATTTCAGAATATGAATGTCATACTACATACATTCGTACAATCATACATACATAATACATGTAACAGTGACAGTCTACATATATTTTAAATGGAGAAAAACGTTATAACAGGTGGAGAACCGAACGAACGGGGGCTTGGATCAAAAGATAACGTCTAATTCATCGTGTTGGTGCTTCGAAGTCCGAATTGAGACATGGTCGGTGTGGTGCTAGTGTTTGGAATCCACTTGTCCAAAGCTTGGTTTTCGAAGCGCTTGTGGCCTGATATTTATGACGGATTTGTTAGTATTCAATGATGTATGTTTAGAATCTAGATTGTGGCATTGGAAACGTTCGTTGATCATAGTATCTAATTGGTAGCTTCTTTGTGTTGCTCCAAAACTCATAGCCACGCATGCGATGGGCGAGATAATCACATCCAAAATAACGTTATGTTCTAAATACATCAAACAGATAATTTTTCTGAATATATCCAATGCCACATCATTCGAGTACACTTTTATTGAAGAATCGATGGATTTGTCTTCCAGCCTCCTTCCCAACCACCGGCTCGAATTCCTCCAAATCGGCATTAGCCACCTCCTTAATACTCCCCAACTCCATTACTAGATTACCCAGATTCTTCCCCGTAACTCCAGGTACCACTCTTAACATATCCTGAGGTTCCCGATTAAATACTTGATCCTCCGCACTTGCACCACCTTCAAGTCCAATCTTCACAGCTTGTATAGGATCTGGTTCGGGTTCTTGTGTTTTGAGACTTTCGAATATCTCGGCAGTTTGATATGGACTAGAACTCCAGATAATGCGGAGTCTGGGGAATGCGAGAGTGAGGAGCACGAGTTTGGATTGAAGATCGGATGATGCATTTGCGGCTGATACGGATGATAGAGAGCCTGAGAGATCAGCAAACGGTTCAAGGGTGAAAGATTTGCCTTGGTCGAACTCAATGAGTAACATTGGTGACTTGTAGTGTTCGAGCATAGTTTCGGCTTGATTGTATAGACGGCCATCTTTGAATGACGAGATCAAATCTTTGATTGATTTACGCTCCACACATATGTTTGGAGAAAGAACATAGTCTCCGACGGTAAGCATACAGGGCACTACGACCATGCTTCGACCGTGAAGTAAGGATGGAAGTGAGGAGCGAAATTCCCGAACATCAACTACTACCCGTGGGGGCTGGGCTGTAGCCGCTAAGCGTCCTCCGCCAGCAATGCGTGTATTTATGGTACGGAGGAAAACTTCTTGCGGATCTTCGATGCCATGTGCGTCAAGAGTCAGTACAACAGACATGTTAGCCTTTTCCTTTATAAGTTTAGTAAAGGCGTCTTTTTCTCGGCGAGTCGATGACAGGTAGCGTTGTTCCTCTACCGACCCGCCATAATAAAGGAAGTATACTCGGACGTTCCGATCATTATGTGAAGAGCGATAAACCTCTACTCTACGAACAAAAGATGTGTCGGGTTCATACATGATGATATACCGCGGCTTTACTTCCTCGAGAATATGCTCATCCATATCCCCGTCATACGCGTGAACTACCACAAGATCCTTCATCTCATAAAGCTGATAGTAATCTTCCATGTCATCCAAAGGATCGGCAATGACTTCTTCTTTCTGCAATTCCTCCACTTCTGTGGGCTTTATCTCCGACATTAATTCAGCAACCTCGAGGGGTTTATCTTCCGCAGCTTGTAGACTGCCATTGGTGGCACGTGTGGATCCCGAGCTCGAGGCGCCCCCTCTCACTCTCCTCCTTTTGTTTGCTGGAGCTTTACCTCGGGAGCTGTTCGTAACACTATTGGTGTTGCTAATACCATTTAGTGCGTTTTGATTCTCATTGAAAAGAGCCGCGCTAATTTTCGCGAACTTCTTCTTCCACTCTAAGTAGCTGCGCAATTTTCGCCTCATCATGATTTCTGCCGATGGCTCTTGATCTTCATCCTCATCATTGTCCGTTGTTTCTGCATGAGCGTGCATGCTTTGAAGGTACTCTCGCAACTGCCAACATTGAGCCGAATCTGTACACATTATCAAGATTGTGCCATTTGAGTCATCCAATGGTACGGGATTGAAGTAGAGATCTCTATCAATTTCGTCAAGCACTTCAGCAAGCACTGACCATTTTGGCTGTTCTTCTAATACGGGTTTCAAAGAATCCACATCATCCGTTCGTGTAGCCTTGCCTGTATATACCCTTCTTTTCGCTGTATCAAATACGGTATGTGCTGCATCAAGGAATAGCCAAGGAGACTGGTTTTGCCTTGTAGATCCAGCAGGAGGCTGATGCGCAGCAAGAATCATATCTAAATGGCGATTGAATGAGACCGCATCATATGTTAGTAGAGAATGTAGCATCCCTCTTAGGACAGTCAAGTCGTTGACAATCTGTTTCGTCTTCCAGCTGACTCGGTGCCATACTGGATCAAGCTGCCTGCGAATGACCATATCAAATTGCTTATGTAGAGCACTATCAACGTTCCAGTCGTCCATCTCTAACCCAGAGTTCGATTTCTTCAATTCGCCAATACTAACCTCTACACATTCCATTATGGCATTTTGGATATCTCGCATGGAGTCAGACATCGAAACCTCAAGTTCAATGACCTCGGCTTTTTTCTTGCCTTCCAAAGCTTGAGCAACATTTATATGGAATCTTGGCCATATTGAGACGTTGCGTAGGAATAGATTTCGCATCATAGTGGACAATGGCGAGAACCCAGTCGCAAATGGTTCGGGATTGTCCGAAAAGGCTTTCAGAAATCCAGCCTTATTTTTTGTCTGTATATCCGAAGTATGAAGGCCTCCAGTGATGTAGCTACAACCTTATCTGCATGTAGCACTACCACGCCAGTGATTGTCTCTGTGTTTAATAGACTGGTCAAGAGATCGACAACAAGAATTCTAGATGTAATGCTAAATATTCCTCCTTGTGCATACATCTTTTCTCTTGTGCCGACGCTCATGAGATCCGTATTGACGACAGAAAGACCTCGCGCTCTAGGAGCCATGCTGATAGCAGCGTGCTCTGCCAGTGCTTCTCCAATCCATCCATTCTCTCGATCATCTGCACCAACCAGTATTATTAGGTTATTTCCTGCTGCATCATATGAATGGAGGAGGTTCGTGACAAGTCTCAAGAGGCCAAGGCCGCGAGCAAGAACCACAAGCTCATCTTTTTGTCGAAGCTCTTGGAATATCTCTTGTTGATATTTCTGCAGTTCTCATTAAGATATCATTCATACAAAGGAAGATTGAATTTACCAATGGCAGTGACAATTTCACGGGTTGTTGTTCGCCGTTTGATGAAGACATCTTGGAGGTATCATGACGCGTTGACCAATTGAAGGTTAACGCGAACCACACACGATGTCAGAAGTAGTTTTTCAGTATATAGTATATCCGTATCTACCCACGTCAAATGTCTCAGGTGGCCTATTTTAGGCAAGACTTAGGCTGGTCTGATCTCAATGGTTCATTCAATATGCTCAAAATCTTGATCTTATCACGAACATTGTTCGAGGAATCATAGTTATTGGTAGTTGAAGTTAGCGACAAAGCTAGAGAGAGCTTTATCCCGTGGTCTTCGAGTTACGCCTGCCTACGTCATGAGGGGAAATACGGCTTATATAGAAGAGAGAATGAAGGAATCCCGTTGATGAAAAGCTCTTATCTTCATACTATCTAACTCTACAAACTACGAATACACGAATCTTCTCAAAGTCAAATAATTTAATCAAACAACAACCCTACATCATGCCTGCCGGTCCAGACGAAACTCACCACCACAAAGCCGGTGAAGTAACTGAGCACGTTATGAAGAACTCATCCTCAAAGACCGACAACAATGCTAGCGACCACCCGCTCCATAACGAAGGCGAAGTAAAGGGAGAGAAAGTCCAATTCCGTCATCACGAGGCAAACCCAGGACCTGTTGTCCCTCAAAGTATGCCGGAGCAAGAGGGATCAAAGGCGGACCGTGAAGCAAAAACTGCTTCTTTGAACAAGTAAAGCTCTCCGGTATGCCTATCATTAACCCACCCGATAGACTAAACTGATTCATTAGACTGTAAGAGACCCTTACACGAATCATACGATCATTCCGAACGAAATGTTAATGAAGCAAGAACTCATGGATGGCTGGCGTTGGGAAGGATGGAATGGATAAGGAAACGGATGATAGTGGACATAATGTGGTATATATCTGATTAGCAAAGACGACCAGTACGAGATAAAACTTCCGTCTTTCTCAAACATGCATGTTGGTGTGAGTGGTGTGCTGTGTATGTTGTCATCCTCATACTCGCACAAGAGTGATTAATCCCCATTTCATTGCAAGTCGATGGTCATGGAGTGAGTACCTACGCAGTACAGATGCATCGATGAATCGTTGGTAGTTGTGTAAGACCAAGGTTTTGCCCGTTAAAATATCAATCTACAACATAATCGTGATCGCTTCGTGGAATTCTCAAAAAGAATATAGATGCCTATGACCAGTACGCGCGTTACAACAAGTCGTATGAAAGACGTTCGCATTCGTACTTTCGTAAAACGCAATACGATGTGGAATTGTGAGATGCCCATTCGTTTCTTTGAGATTCGGAATATTCTGTGGCTTTGCCCCGACCAGTGGCTGAATTACTTGGCATTTTTGTCGTCGCAGCATTACCCATACACACATACGGAGTACGACAATCTACATCTGTGCCCAACTGACATTGACCGTTTCAATCATTGTGAATAAGCACATATTCGCTGCGGAATTTGGCTACCTGAAGGACCAGTATCATTCGCTTTACTTTTTGGTCCAAATCTCTTCTTCGAATCATTGCGATAGGAAAAGAATCATCGCACAATTCATCGCTACTTTCCAATGCTTCTAAGAAGTGTGAGAAGTGCGACCAACACGAGAGCAATCTCCCACACGACCGAACCCTATTTCCAAAAACCCTACGAAGATACATATTATAGGAGAAACTCCAATACGATATAAAGTTGAAGAGTCTATCGGGGCCAATAGATATTCAATAAGCCTACAGGATGCCTTCCATATTGTCAGATGATGATAAAGAGACGGTCAAACGCATGGTACCAAAGGCCTCGAACAAAATCCAGGCAGTAGCAGTCGCCCGTCTATATATTGCTTATCCCGATCGTCATAAATGGACATACACTGGTCTACAAGGAGCGGCAGTTCTTGCGAATGATCTCGTCGGCAATACCTACTGGATAAAACTTGTCGATATCTCAGTCAGTGCTTCACCTCTATACTAGCCCGGCAGTACTTCATCAAACATCAAAGCTAACTTGTATGTGATAGTCTACGAACAAAGGCGTCATATGGGACCAAGAGATATATGATACTTGGTCATATAATCAAGATCGAACATTCTTCCATACCTTCGAAACAGAAGAATGTCTGGCTGGATTGTCCTTCGTAGACGAGAAGGAAGCCAAAACCTTCATGAAAAAGATGAATGATCGAGAAAAGAATGCTAGTAAAGCTACAAAGGCAAATCCTTTTGGAGGCGCTGCGCCGGCTCACAAACACAGTCTCCTTGGTGGATTTTTCGGTGGACACAGACATTCTTCTGCTCCATCAATACAACCTACTCCCCCCGATTCGCCTAGCTACGTACTCCCACCTTCACAACCGGCGCATCCAACGCAGAACCACAGGCACTCGGGTGGAAGCTTCAGGACAGGGCAGGCCGAATATGCAGCTTTGGAAGCGATCGATCCTCATTGGCGAGAAACATGGGGCGAGGACTTGAGAGAAATGGGTATTACAGACGACATAATCAGGGATAATCAGGATTTCATTGCAGACTATATTCGAGAAAAGCAAGCTCAACAAGTTATAACACCTACGCCTAGTGGTATCGAAAATCAAAGAAATAAAGCCCCTCCTCCACCTCCACCTCCAGCAGCACCTCGAACACGTTCCGATAGTCCTCAGAGTTCTACTGCTGGTCATGGACGAGGTGCACCACCTCCACCTCCTGCACCACGGCGGTCCAAAGCAGATATTGCTCGGGAGCCAACACCACCAAGAGAGCCCTCACCGCCCAGGGGTCCCCCTCCCCCAAGGTTCGCAGCTCCACCGCCATTCGCAGATGCTGGAAAATTTGCGCATACCAATGATAGAGCACCTTCTCGAGCACATGCTTCTTCTAATCCAGGGCCACCCCCACCACCTAGACCTGCGAAAACGCCTATCGAAGATTACGAGCCAGGGGAATCAGGTTCGAGATTTGGAGTCCCACCTCCTTTCACGGGAACAAGAATTACGGCACCACCTCCTACACCACAACGAGGTCCTGTTCCACCCCCACCTCCCAGAGACATCCATCAATCACATAGTAGTCATGCTATACCACCTGCACACATTCCTCCTCCGCCTTTACCGCCCAAAACCCCAGCATCTCCGGGTGCTCCCCCCTTACCTCCTGCTTCTACTCGTCCTGTACCTTTACCTCCGAGAGATAATGCACCACCTCCGCCTCCTTTGCCTCAAATGAGCGCCCCACCTCCACCTCCTTTGCCTCAAATGAGTGCCCCACCTCCACCACCTCTACCGCAATCCGCAGCTCCACCTATCCCATCATCTGCTGCTCCTCCCCCTCCCCCACCGCCTGGACCTCCCCCATCATTTGGAGGACCACCTCCCCCTCCCCCTCCACCTATGCCATCATTTGGCGGTCCTCCACCACCTCCACCTCCTCCAGGAAATGGACCTCCAGCTCCTCCTCCTCCACCACCACCTCCAAATCGCGATTCTGGCCATGCTTCAGGTGCTCCGCCGCCACCTAAACCTACTGGCGATCGTGCAGACCTAATGGCAAACATTCAAAAGGCTGGTGGTATTGGAGCTCTCAAGAAAGTTGACCGATCGCTAGTCAGAGACAGAAGTGCTGCTGCCGTTCCGGGTGCAGATACTGGACCTGCGGGCAGTGGACTTCCCCCAGCTGGTGCATCTTCAGGTGGCGGAGGTGGATTGGCGGATGCGTTAGCAGCTGCTTTGAATAAGAGAAAGCAGAAAGTTAGTGCTAGTGGTAAGTTTTTATTTCATAATCTTGGAGTTTGTGTCCTTGGCTAACATTTTGATCAGATGACGAAGCGGAAGATGATGATTGGTAGATGCGATGATGTGATTGGTTGTTTAGTTTGGTGAAGGGATGAAGTCAAAAAGGGGGCGAACTTTGTAGTATATTGAGCGTTTACTAAGCCAAGTGAAGAAGAGGCGTTCAGTCAAAGCCCTGTTAGTCGGAACTGGCTGCTGTAAAGTAACGTGACTGGCTTAAGAGATAGGGTAACTCAGGTGCGAGGAGTTTCAGTAGTTAAATCAATCGAAAACATTAAAAATTGAAAATTACAAGACGTGTATGTCGAGATTGTGCATGCACCGTGGTCAACCCTTGAAGTGATGCATTCAATTCACCTCAAATCACAGGTGATGCATTCAAAATAAAATAAAAAGACTATCATTATTCGGATAGCCTTCAGTCTATGCTACGTAGATTGGAATTAAGAGTCCTAGTCGATACATGCATAACGTCTCTCCCACTATACAAGTATCGCCAGTCGAATGAAGCACTAGAAGGAAAAATGCCTGTCGAGGTTCTCGGGATCCAGCGAGTGAAACAATGACCGGATCCAACGAGATTGAGAGAGAAGACAGTCTTTCTTTCCATCCCCCTAACCACCACTATCAATCGTGGAGGGGAGCCACTAACCCCCAGAACATTTTAGATATCATCAATATCAATCTCCTTGCCCTTTCCTCCTTCAGCAGCATCATCAGAATCACTACCACTATCTCTATCGTCATCGAACTCGAAGTTGCAATCTCCGTCTTCGCCTTGTCCGTAGGTATCGGTCTCGTTGATCTTTGCGCTCTCGGGGAGTTCTCCGTAGGCCTTCAAACTTCTGGCTTCGTCGGCGCTGTACTTGAGAATGACATCTCCCTTCTCATCTTGGTAATCACGGAGAGAAAGGAGAATGATATCTCCTTGGTTGATCCAGACCTTCTTTCTGAGCTTTCCACGGATATGTGCAAGACGTCTAGTACCATCAAAGCAGAGAGCTTCTAAACGACCGTTTCCGAGCATCTTAATAACTTGGGCATATTCTGTGGGAAGTCGTTAGTTGGTCGTCTGCAGAGTAAAATGACTTAAAAGACAATGAGCGGTAAAGGAGAGGTAAAGGTAGATAGCAGTTGCAAATATTAGCTACAGGCAGTAGGGAATATGTACCTTGACCTTCTTCCTTGAAGGTTAATTCACGCTTCTCGTTATCGTTCTCGTTCTTTCCACGACGCCTGTTCTTTCCTCCCTATTTTTCGCAACTGTGTCAGCCTAGATCAAGGTAGTGGGGTGGAAGATTTCCAATAAAAAATGCGACAATGTCTTACCTTTCCCTTATTCTTAGGCATATTTGCTGTTGTTTTGCTTTACTATTGGTTCTTGGATTTCGGTTTGAAGGGTGTTTGTGGTTTGCAGTGTCGTTGTTTTGGTTGTGGTGTTGGAATAAGATTAATGAAGAAGGAAGAAGAAGGCGATCAAATAGGTAGCAAACAATAATTTATTTCTGGGCTGGAGTACCTAGTGTCATAAATTGTGGTTCACTAGTGGTGGGGTCTTGGCGCACGCTAAAGAGATCCGGTCCGACCAAATTGATGAATTCGCTTTGTTACGGCTCCATTGTCATTGATCGAGACTTTATTCTCCCCCCAAAAACCACAATGTTCAATACATCCGCCAGTTTTCAAAGTCATTGTCTACTGTTACCAAAACAAAGAAAAATATGAACTAGTAGCCAATGATTCTGACGCACACTACTCTCACCTCAAGACCATTCAAATCCTCCACAGGAGATGGCTGCTAGAGCGACTGGAACAGCTGCAATTGCTGTGGAATCGAAATTCTCGCAGCTGATACGTTCCGGTCAACTGAAATCAATAGATGCTCTAGCTTATGGATCATTCAAAGGTATCACAGGGGACGATCAATGTTTTTCTTATAAGCTTTCCGCTCACCACGCCTATGGCTCTCATCAAGCTCCAGCGGTATCAAAAACCTACAACCCAGACCACTATAGTATTCAGCACCTTTTGGTCAACAAGCCCTCGGCTTTGTGGCTCTCTGTATTTTGCGCGAAAGTTCATGGAGGAAACAAGAAAGTTATACGAACCCATATGGTACGGAGGATCAGAACTGCAATTAGGGAAGCCTTGAAGAACCACGACTATGACTTGTCTGGAAAAAGGATATCCAGCAGTATAGAAAGGGGTAGCAGGGGCGAGGACCTAGTTGGTACGATGATAATATCTGCCAAAGATAAGGCCTTGACTGCAAAGATGGATGTTTTACAAAACCAAGCGGAGATGGCTGTGACCGCATTAATACGAAAGTTCAAGCTGGAGCGTGAAGGTCGACGTAACAGTTCAAATCAGAATCCCAGCAAACAGACCAAGGGCATGCCGATTGAAGTGAAAAGGGTCCAGATGAAAAATAGGGCGAAGGAAAAGGACGGTGGTACAACAGTAAACCTTCCAAAAAAGAAGAAAAACACCAAGAATAAGGTATTTGGTGGAACAGTCTATCAAAAGTGATGGAAAATAATGCAAAATAATGAATCGAAAAAAATGTTAGAAGCTACCACGGTTTGATAGCCAGACTATATAGCCTTCACAAATCATTCAAAAGATATAAAAAATAGATATTGCATTTGCTATCACACAAACCATAGTATCTTGAAGGAAGTTCACACCAAAAATGTTTCATCAATTTGCGGCTGTGCCAGATCCAACCAATTAGCGCCGCCTGAACACACGCTGGAGCTCTCCAAGCTAATCTAGGACGATCGCAATCGCGAAGCTGTCGCAACGTATCTTAAAGAATTCCATTCCCTTTTGGCACATTAAAAGAAGTATTCGCCATGTTAATTTCACTCACCGTGGGTAAAGTCGATGCCGGAGTGGCCGTCTTATTAACTCAAGATAAACGACTCGTAAGTTATCCTCTCTACAATGATTCAATCAACTGCACATTGACTACATAAATACAACTTCGTCATTGCACATGTTACTTCCCCCAACCTCCATAACTGACAATACCCCTCCCAGATTGAATTTCCATCTATTCTCCTTCCACCCAACATTACATCCGGTAGCATCGTCGATATCACAGTTGCACGAAACCTTGTCTCGGAAGAAAAATCCCAGAAATCATTCGTCGCTCTCCAAGATTCTATCTTCAATTCATTTGGTGCATCAGAACCGTCTGCACCAGTCCTTCGCTGTCGCAACGCAACTCAGACTTCTGTCGTTTTAGAATGGGATCATATTGAGTTAGCAACCGCAGATGTCATCTCACTCTCCCTCTTCCGCAATGGACAAAAGGCTGGAAACATCCCAAGGCCGAGTCAAATGCTGAGCACAAAGATCAGTGGTTTGGCTGTTGATACAGAATACACGTTTCACCTGGTATTAAGAACAAGTGCCGGAACTTTTAGTAGTGAGAAGGTGGTTGTAAAGACGCATAAAATGACGGATCTAAGTGGTATTACTGTCACGCCTGGTATTCTGCCCGCTTCATTGAGGGATAGTCTTGTCAAAGCAGTTGAGAGGATTGGGGCGAAGATGGCAGATACTGTGAGAATCGACACAACACACTTTGTCACGACAGAAGGAAGAGGCATAGCTTGGGAGAAAGCCGTCGAGATGAACATTCCAGTTGTAAGGCCGGAATGGGTTGAGGGCTGTGAGAGAGGTGGAAGAATCGTGGGCGTTAGGCAATATTATCTTGATGCGGATCCAAAACAGAGACAAATAGTCTCGAACACACCTCCAGCTCAACCAGCACAAGCTGAACCACCCAGGGAACAAGTCACCACTCCAACTACTTCACCACCACCCACGAACACAAACGGTACGAATGGTCAAACTGTCCCTCCTACCCCACCCGCAAAAGATACACCCAAACCAGATAAAGAGGAGAGAGAGAAGGAAAAAGAAGAGGGTGATTCTAGTAGCGACTCGGGAGAAGGACAAGAAAAGCAAGAGACAGAAAAGACGACAGTGCCTGAAGAGCAGAAGTCTCGAGCTTCAGATGTAGAACAACAAAAACTTGCCCTCCGACCAGCAGCCCCATTCGGAGTATCAGCAGATGACTTGACCAAATCGGGCGAGGAAAACACATCCGGGAATCAGACACCAGGAAATGCTAGCTTTCAAGATGTCGCTTTGTGATAGACGATCGAAGAATCTTTCATCTTTGTTACTATTATACTATAATCAATGTTTTGGAATGGCTAGCAACAACAATTGTTGGCGGGCATGGTGTTGGGATGGGAAGAGAGATTTATAGCATTGCTTCAGCGTTACTTAAAAATGGTTTCTACAATGGCTTCAAGATATGAATATGTAATGAGCTCTCGCCATCCTTGTGACTATAGATTCGCAATTTTCATTTGATCTCGCTAGAACATCAAGATCCCCCTTTTTTTGACATCGTGAATTCATCCAATGACTAATTGCTATTCGAACATTCAAACTTAGAGTTAATCTCTAGTTAGCCTAGCTACACCCCACACACTCGATCTAAAATGCAACATAGATGCATGGAAAGATCGACCGCCCGATGTCAATGGATCGTCCAGCCACACCCGCCACTTGTAAGGATGGCTCTTTTAAAATATATCAATGATGCTGTCATTGTCATTGCCATTGATGTCAAACAAAACGTCATGCTCCTCCCCTCTACATGATCTTTTTTTGTACTCACGCCAGTCTTCAAAATCCTACAATACAGTATAATAAATTGAGAAAGACGAAGAAATGGCATGGTCACTAGTTTGTCCCGCAAATCGAGGAATTGGTTTCTATTTAACTCGACATCTCCTTCAAAACACACAACTTCCCGTCGTGGCAACGTCGAGGAAAGATATTGAAGGAGCGAGGAAATCTATCTTGACAGACTTGGATGTTGATCCCAAGAGATTGACGGTATTGGAAGTCGATGTCACGAGTAAGTGATTCATTGTCTCACTCCATCACTCGGAACAGATTCATATATTAGAAATCTCTAAATTCTAATATCAATATCCCCAAGATATATAATCATGACATCCTAACACAATACAGATGAATCCACCATCTCCTCAGCCGCAGAAAAATGTTCATCTCTCTTCCCCTCCTCAACCCACCATCTCCGTCTCGCCTTTTCCATCCCCGGGGTTCTCTACCCTGAAAAATCACCCGCCCAACTAGACCAATCCCAAATCCAACACACCTTCGCCGTCAACACCATCGGCCCCCTCCTCCTCACCAAACACTTTTCTCCCTTCCTCCCCCCAAAACGTCTCGATCTCTCTTCCTCCCCCGACACAAAAAATCTTCCGCCCCATGCCCTCTGGCTCAACATGTCCGCTCGCGTAGGTTCCACCTCGGATAACGCACTCGGGGGGTGGTATAGTTATCGCGCTTCGAAAGCAGCGGTGAATTCTTTAACCAAGACGTTTGATCTTTTCTTGAAAACGAGGCATGGGGATAATGCGCTTGCTATTTCGTATCATCCGGGACGGTGAAGACGGGCTTGTCAAAGGAGTTTTGGGGAGGTGTCAAGGAGGGGAAATTGTTCAGTCCCGAGTTTGCGGTGGAGAAGTTGTGGGATGTTGCGATGGCCAAGGGGATTGAGAGTAGAGGGCGTTGTTGGGATTGGAGGGGAGTCGAAATTTCCCCTTGAGAAAGTGTACAGGGCAGCATGGGAGGTTGTCTGACTGTTATTGTGAAGCTATTGCGAAGCTGACTCCATTTCTTGATGCTGGTACATGACAGTTCCTCACTCTTGTACTATTAATATTTCCTACGTTGTATGACCTACGTCACTTTAGCATTGATTGTCACTTTGAAGCGCAAGCAAAATATTATATAAGCTAACGTTACATATCCTTTCTTTTCATTTTCGTATGATTCGAGAATCGTAAACTCATCCACCGCTAGTACCTTTAGAATATCCATCAAAATAGCAAACTGTAGCAACCATAAATCTTTGTCCGGTCCCCTGTCAATACCTTCAATAACTGTTCAAATCCTCAGTCAACTCCTTTTAATACATAGCAAGTTTCCACTGATATCTCTCTCGTTCACCTGACCATGAAACGTTCGCTCGGGTCTCGCGTTGGCGGGTGCCACGACCTTGAATCCCTTCAAAACAGTTCTACAAGCATGTCAACCAAATCTCCCCACCCAATCCATTTCCTCCCACATCCATACTCTCACCCTCATCTTGATCAACCCAGATTTTTCCCTTAGTAGCCAAAGATAATATGTGTAAGAACGCCTGAGCTGCTACAACCTCACTATTCGTCGCCGGGTTGAACAACTCCTCGAATCCCACTTTCTTATCTCTCAACTGGCCATCCTCGTGAAACAGGTCTTCGTCGTCGTCATATTTCTCTGCGATGGATAGTCGGACAAATTCGAAGAAATTCTCACTTTCTGTATCCATGACGTCTCTAGCCCACTGGCTTTGTCCTGCTGTCTGTGTATCCACATTTGCAGCGGGCCCGAACATTTCAAACTCTCTAATTGACTCTCTGTCTGCTCGTTCAAAAGCTCCCAAATTCGTTCCATCGGCACTTTGCCCATCCATATTGGTGCTGATATCATCACTTCTTCCATACATAATAACATCCTGCTGTGAAGAGAACTTTTCCAACTCGCCTCCACCAGGCAAAATGTTACCTCTTCCCACCAAGGGACTGGCAGAGACTCCTCTGCTACCGAGTCTGAGCGATGAAGCGGGGCGTAAACTTGAAGAGCGAGCTCTCTGACTGGCAGACAAGTTCCATGGCATCATCGCACTGCTTGGATATTCGGCTAATCCCTCCGCTGCATCTCTACCTATTTCCACCTCGACTGGAGTACCGAATGGCTCGTCGTCAACTTGAATGGCGAATTCGTCGTCACCCCTGAAATCACGAGGAATTTCTTCGTCGGAAACATGGCGAGATCGCTTATTAGGAATATTGTCTTCCCCTTCGAAGTCTGCTTGACGTTTAGAAGAACTCAACACTCGCCCTGTAATCTTTGCAAGAAGCGCATTACCCGAAAACATACTCAAAGGGCCCGGAAGTTTTGTTGAACCAATTCCAATTCCAGCACCATTGAGACCATTTCCAATCACGAACATGAGAGCATTTTGCTTGGCCAATGTGTTTCCCTTCGCTGTCAACTTTGCTGCACGGAGACTGTCTTGAGTATCGACGTACTCTCTTTGCCAGATTGAAAGAACTGAATTCTTGAGTTCTTGGGTTTGGTCGATAGGAAGTTGTTTCTTGGTCTTGGGCTTTCTAGGACGTGAAGGTGCGGCTGCGCTTTCAGATGACGAATCTTCAGACTGTGAGAGTGACCGCTCGCGCCCCGGCAAAGGAGCAGGTAGAGCACCACTCATGAAGACTTCGAAAGGCTCCGCATCAGGTAACACAATTCTGTCATCATCATCTCCATACACAATGTTCAAATCTCCATATTCGTCGTATATACGAGCGTTATCTCCATGTCGAAGCCTAGCATCATCATGTTCTTTGCGAACTCTTACACTAGCAGCCGAGTCACTACCAAACCTCGGAGCTGCACTTATATTTGCTGCCCGTCGAGCGACAATATCTTGAGCTGTCAGATCTCTAATTTCTCCGTCCTGATCGATCTCAAACAGATCATTGTCTTCGAACAAGATAGCTTCGTCGTCAAGTTCATCTCTCCGAGTGCCCGGTTTTAGCGCGGAAGACTTCACAAATGGATCGTTGAGAGGAAGCTGGTAGCCGCCGGCACTGAGACTTGAAGAAATATTCAAGCCCATAATGGAAGCGCCTTGAGAAGAGGAAAGGGAGCTACCTCGTCCGCGTTGTGAGTGAATCGACAATGAAACTTGCGAATCCCGATTTTGCGACTGGTGAGCATCGATGTCAAAATTGTAATCTAAAAACAAATCTGGGAGTGGAAGATCTGGATCAAATGCAGGATCATCCACGAGCATCAATTGAGCTGGTCTTGTTTTCAAAAAAAAGTCAGCTTGGCCCATCATAAATTGGGGTAACAATGCACAACACTTACTTAACCTTCACAATTTCCAAATCCAAGCTTCCGATTAACTTTTTTCCAAGTCCCCTCAAATTCTGCTCAACATGAATAGTATCACTTAAAACGTAGCCAACCTGTTGACCATAGACTCTAGAAACCCCATACAATAGATTGCTCTGTAGACGTAATGCCATAGGAGCGTCAGGTTCGAGGATTGTATTACAGGCTTTCTTGACATCAACGTCGAGGATGGCTTTTCGGGTGATTTTCTTAGTTGATGATTTACTACCTAGAGTCGCAACAAGCCATACTGTTGCGATACCATGTTTTCGAGAGGTGAGAACTAGTAATGGCATTAGAAAAATGGTTATGGAAAGACAGTTGAAATGATAGAGAAGCAAATACGCAGAATGGTGAGATATGCAGCGAAGAGTTGAGCGCAGATAAGAGACATACTTTCATGGCTGTAGAACATTTTTTCTAATTTAATTCGATTTGAATCACTTCACAATGCGTGAATATACTACTGATTGTGGATGCGCACGCGCACCAAGAACTTCAGTGGCTTTCAATATCTTGATTGTTTCGGTCAAATTGAGGACCTCGTCTGAAGCTGTACGGAGAAGTATGGAGGAAGTACAACTACAAAATGAGCCGAAAAATATAGAAGAGAAAGTATTTGAACCTGTAGTAGGTAATTAATGGAGGAGAAGCCAAGTTGGTGATAACAAACCTTTGAGATTATCAGGACTTGAGGTAACTTTCCAGCAAAGGAAGGTGTGTGGGTGTGAGGGTGTGCTCGCGTGCGACCAGATCGCCCACCTAAAAAGTGAAGACACAACCCCTTCTCGAAAGGTGAAAATATTGAAGTCTTCATAAAGAAGACTTTTGTAGCAAGGTGTGGTAACATATGTATGCATATACACCAGTACATCATTCATCAGAAGAACACACGCATCAACAAAAGTAATCACGAATTATAGAAAGTTACTTGTTATTTTTGTTAATGAATTGACTCGCTCGGAGCAGTAACTCACAAGGACTGGTATGTATGCGCTATGATCCTTATAACTCCATTCATACCATGCTATAACTATGCCTTTATGTTTCAACAAATATGAGGTCTATAATCCTTCGGTAATGCTAGCTAGAATGCAAAACCCATTAATTTCAATAGCATGCCTTCATCTTTGCATATTTCGATGAAGGCTACACGCCTAACGCCTAAACTACACCCGGTGTAGTTGTTTATTTTCCCTATCCACCTGTCATAAATTCGTCGCAGATCAACTCTGTGCCTAACTGGCATTACCCACTCTCTGATCGGCGTATTGAGCTATTTTCTCCTTTTTCGGGGTGTTTGGCCTTAAGCTCGTTTGCGACATCTTAGGATGTACAAGTGGAGCGGTAGAAGTTGAGTTGTTAGCAGTGTGATGCATACTCGGTTGTCTCGATGGCGCGTTGAACGGAGAGTCGCCTCTGGCAATCTCATCCTGCTGCCAGTTTTGGAATTCTCTGGAACTCCAGCTTGCTCTGTGGACACGCGCTCCATATGGAACACTGCCGTATCCTGAATGCTGGCTGCGCATACTAGCGGCTCTGCTTCGAGCAGCCATCGGTAATGAGGGTTGTGAGGTATTTGGATCCCTATTTCCTCTCATCTCCGGCATCTCTGGCACAGTATCCTCATCTTCGATTTTAGGGGCTCGACGAACTTGGGTGACGCTGAAGTATGGTTCCTTTGGCTCCTCGGGGACCGGTGGGGGTGGGGGTGGAAGATCGACAGCTTTCAGTTCCAGATGATCGAAGTATTTTGTGCGAATTTTTTGTAGGTTGCGTGGCCTGAACTCCTCACGATTACGCATGATCGACATGTAGCTTGAGATGGCTCCGAGGACGATGAGTATTAGCAAGCCAATGGTTAAGAACCCTTGAATGACAATTATAATGACTCCAATGACTGTGGTTGGAATTCGTGCAACATTATACCGTGGGAGGAATGCGACCGATAGACCTGCAGTAGCAACCTTACTGATGCCAAGCATGTAAACCGCTAAGGCTGTATTGCGGGCACCCTCGAAGGGGTTGAGGCATACAATAGCAATGAAGGCAATGATCTCGATCACGAGATTTCCAAATACTTGGGCAGCGGGATTAGAACGAGCACCCCCAACGAAACAAGCTCTGACGAATTGATATACAACCCAGAATGCGAAGAACCACCAACGGGTTCTTCTATATCGAGCTGAGAGCCAGCCAAATCGCTTAGTGTACTCCTCATCCTGGTGTACACTCTGTCTCTCCTTGTCTAGGTCAACGTAGTGCAAGCGGAAGAAAGATATAGAGCCAGAGGTTTTTGCTTTCTCGCTCTCTTCCATGCTACTCTCTCTGACAGCTCCATACCATGGGAGAAACTTCATCACTTTCTTTCGTTGAAAATGTATTCGATCAGGAGCCGAGGCATAATTGCCGAATCTAAGCCTGAAGTAGCAGGCGTAAAAGGCAAGTGCCAGAATTCCGAAGAAGAATATTATGAAGATGATGGCTGCGATTGCGATTATGCCTGTTGTGCCCCCATAAGAAAATTGGTAGAGCGACAAAGTCATTATCATGAAGAATGCAATGAGCATTGATCGTAAAACGATTAGTCCACTGATTTTGATCCAGTTATTCCTAAACAATGCAAGCTGATCTTCCTTCATCCATTTCATCTTGCTGAATGCTTCCAAGATAAACTTGAAGGCAACTGCAGAGGCAACAAGAATAACAATCAAGATTAGGTACCATAGAAAACTGACCAAGAAAGCATCCTGTGCCGGAATATCAATGTTGGCGAGTGTTCCTGTGAAATTGGACCAGCTTCCAGGCAATGGCAGCCCAGCTCCAACAGGAGTTCCGTTCCAACTATATCCTTTAGTAGCATTATCGCTAGTGGCACGTTTGGTCAACGATCCCATTCTCTTCACCATCTCATTCCCCCTGGCCATTTTGGACCAATGACTATACTCTTGCAGCTTCTTTAGGGAACGTCCATAGATTTGCTGTTGCAATCCGCCGTTGTTGTTGATAGTAGAAGATCCGGCACCACCGACCTGACTTGAATTTCCGGATATTCCAGTGAAGCTATTGACTGACTTGATCATGGATGGGGTGTAGATCAAACCTGCCGACCAAGCAAAATTACTCCAAAATGCCGGTAAAACACTTGGCCAAGCCACTGACAAAGCCCCAGAAAGGAAGATCGATTGAAAACTTCGAACACCACCAGTACTGAAAGGGAGTGGGCATAGTGAGTTCGAATATGCGGTACGCTGACTCCATATATGGCCGTAGCAAACGAGGAAAACACGGCGATTGCCGTGAATATTCCCAATACTGAGCTGACAGCAGCTGGGTGAGAAAATGATGCTCCATTCCTCATGACCGCTTGGAAACAAGCAATCTCAGTTTGTGTACTATTCGAAAATACTCGCAAAGTAGCAGATCCTTCGAAATCTGGAATCACCAATGCAATAGCAGGAATTCCGGATACATCAGATGCAGATACTGGAATAATGGCTTCGCCGCTGATTGGCTTGCTGCTATTCATGGGACATAGGCTGTGCTGGTGGTTAGTCAAGTCAGGGTACAAGAAAATTGTACTCACCTGGCGAAATTTGCATTACATGGATTGAAGGTCAAGTCGAACCTATCCTCTCCATCTGAGTCAAATATTAGTATCACATCTTCACGACAGGTCATTCTACCTACAAGCTTGCACACCAATATGTACTAAGTTGAAGGTTAGCCAAGTTCCAACCATTCGTCCATCGAGGGCAACCTACTCATTACCGACTCGTTTTGTAAATTCGTGTTACCAGCAAGATGAAACAAAACGGTCATATTATCGGCGTAGTAAGCCGCGTCGAATGTCGTAACATTAATTAAACTCTGTCCACCCATGCAATCTCCAAAATTCCCTGTGAACAACGCCGGTGTTCGACTGTCAAGTAATTCAACTGTCTCTCCTGCAGAGTTTGTCCCCGTAACATATGTGGCACTTGATACCGCAGAGACTGAAGAGATGGAATTAAGAATAGCGAGGGAAGATAGTAGCGCGGTGGACCATGAGGCCATGAGGGAAGGTTTTCGTGCCATCGTCAAGACGGTTGAATTGATTAATATATGGAAAGTGACGGAGGGAATAGGCGTAGAGGAAACTCCGCGCCAAAGGATATTTTCGAATGTTGGTCGAGAACGAGTAGGTTTGGTATTTGTGGTTGAGGGAGGTGCTGTGATCGACTGTCTCTAGGGACCCCTCAATGTAAAGTCGTAGCTCACCTAGCTTCCAGCCCAATGGATCAAGAGATCGACGTTCTCGAATGTGCACTTTATGACGTAGATCAATGGTCGAAATCGCAAAAGTAGAGGATATCGTAACGATGTTGCGAAAAGATAGTGAATCTGTGGTGACCGGTATTTCGTCCGAAGATGTGAATCCGCCCGGTTTTGCCAGCAATGTCAATTTATAAATCAACCACAACTCAAAGGATTGTAGTCGAGATGATCAGGTATCATGTTCGATGATTCCCTAATAGTTGTTCATTTTATCGTTAAGCAGCGAGCGACAATGGAAGATCTATTAGGATACACGCGCGACTTCTATCCGTGGATAAGAACGACAGAGGGGTGGTATGGCTCCAAAGAGGGTAGAGATACGGCGGTGTTAAAGGGTCTTAGAATTTAGGTGGGTAGAAAGAGAAAGGAAGATAATCTTGGTGGAGACAAGCTCAGAAACTGTAACAAGGTGGGTATAACTGGAATAATGGAGAATCCTTGGCTATGGGTGGTTCTGGGTATTGGTCTTTTTTTTTCGATAGTCTCGTATCGGAAAGTCGGAAGCAGTTGATTAGTGTTGACTTGGGTGTTTCTGCTTGTTCCTTGATCTGTTGATTTCACCACCTCCGAATGTTAAATATCTCTTCTGCCAATCAGTTGCCCAGAGATGTTGAGATTGACATAGGTACGATGTAGGAGGTAGGAGGTAGGAGGTAGTATAGTTAGGAGATAGTAGGTAGTAGGTAGCAGGTAGAAGGTAGTAGATAGTAGGTAGATATTTGAGTAGTATACGGAGCGGCAAACTGATAAGTGGCAGAGCACGCAACGCAAGTGCTTGGAGATTATTCGGGTGATAAGGAGGACTCTTTGGGTTCAAGCTTGCATTTGTCGGTGTTTGGAATGAATGGCAAGGGTAATGACAATATCATGAAGCAAAGCCAGGGGTAAGACAGTGAGCTCGTATCTTTAACTTTGGGGAATTGATAGTCGCGAGAAATGGAAGAACAATTGATGTTGATATGTTCATTATTTACATCATACTGTCTGTGTTCATTTTACCAAGGAATTTCCACCAGCGTAACGATTATTGGAGACTGTGAGATTCGGAGACTCGGAGACTATGATGGTATTCTGAGACTCTCCAGCGTCAAATTTCGAGCTTAAAAAAATCGAGCTGCAGTGTCAACGATACGATGTCCGGATGCGCATGGGAATCTGATGCTTCTGGGTACAAATGAAGCTAGAAAGTTCGGGAGGCTAGGAGTTAAGAGAATTCTTGGGTTGTGGTGGTGCTATCACTGGTCCATCTTATCCAACGATTTGATAATGCTTGCGCTGGACATGGATGATATGAACCTGGGAAGCATCGTCCGTTGACTAGCTATGAACCAACCATTCAATCTTTGGAAAGTTACCTTTTTCTATGTGATGGATCGAAATGTATTGGAGCCAGGAGAGTTGGAGCCAGGAGAGTTGGATCTATGAATCGAATTCTTCCCAAAGACTCATCCTCAAATTCCAGTAGCATGTACTAGGTAGTCTCTCCATCAAAACAAAATATCACAAAGGAATTCACTTAATAACACACATCCCTTCGGATAATTTCACCATCTGCCATCCGCAGCGGCAATTAAATTATCTTCATTCTTGGTGGTGTGATGCCATGGAAATCCGGCTTCTTCGGGAAACACAATACGACGTCGAATTTGAGTATATCCAATGAGATGCGTCAGTAGGAATGTTAATCTGACTGATTTGCATTGTTTATCATCCCTTGGCCCATTCCTGGACTTTCCCAAATTCTACATGTGTTCCTTCATCTGGATTTTGGATCTTGACTTCTTGCCATCTTACCTCTGCATCTCAAGCGCAAGTGATTCTGTATACGAGGACTGGAATAGAGCTACTCCTCTTTCCTAGGCATGCACGTCCGAGCACTATGTTCGTGAATCGTGTACCATGATGGTTCTGAGAATGCATTTTCTGGTGTGACCTGTAACTTGGCTGAAGGGATTCAAGAATATTGATTACGACGACTCCATGGAGATGTATGTAACCACAGTCTTATCGTTATTCAACGGGGTTGCGTCGAAGGAAATGATGATTTGATTTAGTTTTCGCAATAACCTGGGGAAGGATTTAGTGTCCCTTGCCCTTCACGGTACTGGTATATGCAAGTCTAGTTTGCACAGCCATCCCCAGCGAACAAATGTTTCCAGCCTCTTCATCTTGGCTTAGAAGAACCACAACGATCCTAATACCAGCCACAACACCACACCACACCACCACACCAACACGATCTATCATTCCAGCTAGCAATCGATAGCCAAACCGGCAATTCATGCATTATCATCCTCTCGATTGTCAAACATAAAGCCACAATGACGAACGATTACACGCCTCCTCCTTCAGTCCTCCAGAGAAAGGTCACGACATGGCCCGCGCGCTACGCAATACGAAATACGATTCCTTTCGACATCTTTGATCTTCACTCAACACAGTATGAAGATCGCGATCCACATAATATGTTATTTGAGTAACTTGGCCCTCGATTCCACAAAATCTTGCAAATGCTACGTGTAAATTTACTAGACATCTATCGACAATGTCTACAATTTTCAAAACATTAACCAAAGATCGGTCCCAGGGCAAGAGCGCAATCAAAGGGAGAGGACTCTATTCTAAATACTGAGGTTTTCAAGCACGAGCTATCATAACTCCAAACGACTCCCCACGCTTCAAACGTTAGCTGTTTACGTTCATGTCGTTCGAGACAGCCCTCCTCTTCTCCTCCACAACCCACTATCATTACAATTCTGACCTACCGGTATTTAATGCAACAATGGTACTGAGATTTGGCTGAACTCGGCTTCGTGTAGGATGAACTGTGAGTTGGCGACAGGCTATATGTCACGCGACCGTCCGAATATCAAATAGAAACATTCCCAATTATTCCACTGAGAAGAATCTTGGGAGATGCACATTACTTCCAAGTTCCATGCCAATTAATGCGGGAGATCGTCATAGCTGAAATTAAGAAAAATACATATCAGGCTTTGGTTCCTGCATGCAGGTGGAGTGGGTGTATCATATTGTTCTAAAAACAATACAATACTGTTGACCAAGCATTGGGTCAAAGCAAAAGCTTAGGCTTTACTCTGTGGGTGGTTATATTGAAATAGTATCCTGTCACTATACTACAGGTCACGACTTTGATTGTTTTCTTCGTTCGCAGGTCTAGTGACTATTCACGGCGTCGCGATTCAGACTATCGATGCTATCGTGGAGTCTTCGTCTTACAATAACGGTTACACTTGGGAGCAAGCCAGGCACAAATATGAATGAAAGTAACGTAACATCAAATTGTGCTCAGAATGTAAGTAATTTGTTGTGATTCATTTGATTGAATCTCATGTGACCTAACCTTGGTTCACATCACTAGGCTCCCCTTTCCTCCCATCCTGCAATTGATCGTTTATGCACGATCGAGTGTCATTTCCTTGCAACCTCAAATGATGAAGCTTGATCTCCCTCCAAGCAAGACCCTCTGTCCAAGCTTCCCATGCGTATTGACAACGCAGTGCTACTCTATCTGTTCCAGCCCATGGCATCCTTCATCTTCTCTACTTCCTTCATCAAGTATCGCCACTGTGCGCAGTTTCCGTCCCTAGCAAATATTCTTGCTGCCTCTTCCACCAAGTTCTCCAATTCAGTAAGTTGTAGCTTCTTTAGGTTGTTCATTGCTTCTTTTGTTTGTACCTGGTATCTGCTGGTTGTTAGGCTGTATTCAATATTCGGCTGAGTCTTTGGTCTTGTTCGGTGCGGTATTGGGAGCACTAGATAGCTTTATTGTTCGGATCTCTGGATGAAGAATAGGGAAGGGCCTGGACTCGAACCTATTATAGAACGATGAGAAGAGAATTACACTTTATTATTCAGAGGTTTCAACTCGCTTTACCTGTACTTCCGCATTGCAATCACATGTTTTTGCAAATTTGATACTCAATGGTATTTATGATTGTTTCGAGATCCCAGGTCATGAGAGCTTTTGTCAATCATTTTAGTATTCACAATTATCCCAGATCAATGATCTGAATGCCATCCTACCAGCCAGATTCCTAAAATCATTGTAAAGTTACCCACAGAAGTTTGGGATCACTCCCATCCATTCAATCCTTGTTTAACACCAGTGCTCGAATTCCTTCCCTTCACGTTCAGCACACCATTTGCATCTTCTCTCCCTCCCTTTGCCATTATCTGATTCCAATCCCATAGTCTTTCTGAGTGCGACTATTTCCTCCCAGACCATGTCGAGATCTGTTGTCGTCTTGATATATTGGCCGTGATATGAGTTGGTCCTGTCAACGGCAATAGGAGGTATACCATCTCGGGCTTTGATTTCATCCCACCGTTTGTATAGAATTATCAGAGCTGCCAGTTGGGACTCGTCAAATTTTGATTCGGCTGGCTTTTCTTCCATTTTTTGTTGTCTATTCGAGGTTTCCGAGTAACGTCTTCAAGAATTTCAGGAATGGTAGCCTGAATGTTTCCGGTATCTTGGTGGACGTTGTGTTCTGTTGATCTATTGTGGCATTTTGGGTAGATGAATGAATATGATATCTTTTGTGATGTCCCGAAAGGAGTTCTCTTACAATGATTCACCTGACGTACTAAATGGTACCATGCTCTCCTGCTATGTTCCTCATGCTGAGGAAGTACGGCAGCCAACACTGATGGAGTGGTGCGATTTGATCCTGGATTTTATTCCCTGGTGGGCCTGTTGGAAAGACCTCAGTACTGTTTGTAAATCAATTCATTTCCAAACATCTCTTCATCGCCGAAATCCTCAGCAGTGAGTCGATGATGTTTTGGATGAAAGCCCTTCCTTCTGGGTCAGCGTGACCAAATACCACTTGGGACTGGTCGCGATATTCAAGTCACGCGATGCTCGTTGGGTGAATGAGCACTGCGCCTTGACTTGATCCAAGGCAGATCGTTACACCATGGACCGTTTATACTTGTACCAGATATATTCATTTTATCAAGTATAAACATATTATTTTGAAATCTGGCATCAGCAATATCATCTGAATATACTCTCCGTGTAGGGACAACAGAAAAACTTCAGTCTACATTATTGGAACAGTTTGTTGCCATTGACAAGTAAAACGAAAATGTAATTCATGATTATTTCCGTGTTTTTCGATGAATTCCAAGTATGACACTCTATATCCTGTCACTTCTTCGTCTTTTGACTGAGTATAAACCTCCGTTTCTTCCTCCTGATATCTTTGTCTCAGTCAGCTTGACACATTGTGACATGCAATATGACTGCAATCATACTGACCAGATTCTTCCAGTCTATAATGCCTACTCTTCCTAGTCGACAAGTTACTGCGTTGAAATTCTGCGTATTCTGAGTTCCACCGCCTGAGTCTTTCTGGGAATATTTATCATTTTCAGAATTAAAAGTTTACTAAGAACGTTCAATGTACAGTACTAGACTATTTATATCCGCCCCCCCGCTTATTTTATAGTGTTATATATTGTACTACCCTTTTTCAATATTAAATATTAAATCAATTAAGAATTATAAAATTATCAAATTTGAATAAATAAATAATATACTCTTATATTATTGATATATATAAAAATTATTTTATTATTAACTCTTAATTTGTTAATATTTAATATGCCAGTTATTTGTTATAATATAAATCTCGATTCTAAAAGGTATATTAGCTTCTAAATTATTAAATAATTCTTTATTCAATATATTCTAAACTGTTTGTAAACAACTTTCTAATCTTTGATAAATATATTTTGATTTGCTTTTATTAATAGTAATATCAGGAAATATTTTATATATTTTTATTTTTAGGGCTTATTATATATATTTTATAAGATTAAAATTAGGGGAATAAGAAGATTAATTTTTCAATAAAGGGATCTCCTTTTCTTAAAACCAATTTCATATTTTATAGATATAATAAATAGAAGTATTATTCTATATAAATTTATACTTTGGATTAAGCTTTTCGAAAATAAAGTCTACTTCAATTTTAAGAATCTTGAGATAAGAATTAATATTGTATTTATATTTTGCATTTTCAAAATCCCTATTTATTATATATAGATTACTCTTCCTAGTATTCCAAAAGCTTTTCTAATATATAATCTTTATATTCTTATTTATACTATATATTTCAACTATTTCTTATTTCTAAATCTTATTTCTAAAAACTAATACAAAAACACTATTCTAATCTTTTTCCTTTTCCCTATTCTATAGAGTATTCATCTAACTATATAACTAAACTCTATTCTTCAATTATTAATCTTCTATAAACTAAATATTATTTAAGCTATTTAACAATATATATTAGTATAAGCTCTAGTCTTTTCTTACATCTCCAATTGAATATATTATATTCGATTAAAATCCTCTTAATAGTTCTAACACTATAATCAAGTTTAACCTTTTGAATAACCTGTTTATATATGACTTTCGGAAATAATTATATATATTATAATAGTATTTATTTGTCTTATTCAATATATAATTTAGATCAAAAGAGTATATCATATAGTTCTGTAAGAGAATTTAAGATTCTTTGTAATTTGATAGAGATTGAGGTTTTCCTTTACCTTACTAATTATTTTACTATATATATATAGAATAAAATACTTATAAGAATCATTTTGTATATCTCTAATACATTATGTAATATGAATTGAAAGCATTATTAAAATAATAAAATATGATTGTGGGAATATAACGTGTGAAAAAACGTGTTTTATGGAGTTTTGGCTAATAGAAGTGCATAGTGACTGTAATTATTCCAAATCGCAATTCGACAACCAGAAGCTTCCAGTCTTTAAATTCAACTGATTCAATGTACTTGATGTATTGAGATCTTAGATCCAGTGCAATTATTCTAGACCATTGAGCACCCTGTAGAGGGTTGGGACAATGGCGGATTCTGTATGGTTGGTTTTGTGTTGTATGGAACATTGAAAGAAGGCCGGAGGCAATCCATACCACTTCAATGCTGGTATCAATAAGTCTAACCACGAGTACCCCTCATGTATCCAAGCTGCTCTCTTGTCTCAGCATTGACTACTTTTATTGTAGCCAAACCATGCTGGCATTATATCTTCCTAATCTCAGAACTCATGGTGAACAGTCGACTATATCAACTTCTCATCTAATAAATGTCTATATGCCACCCACGTTTCCCAAGTTCACGCTCCCATGGGCATCGTTCAGAGTATCATATCTTCTTTCTTTCGAGTTCATATATTCGAAGCCAAATGCTTCCCAGAACTTGTTGAATTCAATATGACGATCAACCACTGTGTTTACATGGTGTGCTTTTCCAATTTTAATGCAGCATGTAAATCGTCAACGATATTGATATCTCCTGTCATGCTGAAACTTGCAAATATCCAGAGGCAGATGCAAAAATGCTGTCAACGCATATGAAAGAACATTTCACAAGTGAGGCTTCCGGAAGTACTACTCTGCTTGTTCTCATCTGAACCAGTTGAGTTATGGCCCATCTCGCATTGCCCAGTTATCTATATGTACTCGATTTTGGAGTAAGCAGAATCAATATACAGGCTTAAGTTACCTGATCGATATCCGACCGAATTTTAACGTTCCTGTTAATTCTGTTAGGTGATTCTTTGCCCATGCCTTCTGCTGTACCGCAAATCTAAGATAAAACGTTTACAGAAGGTTTGGCAAACCGTGACCAATTTTTTCATTCCTTCATGGTTGGTGCATCCACAAGTATCAATATGTATGCTCGGAGTTAGCCTTCGTTCCCAAAGAGCTGACTTTACGTCACCCCTGCGTATTTCTTTCTCCCCTTGTACCTTTAGTGTATCTAAGATCTCGAACTATATAGGCAGGGTAACAACAAAGGAAGACACTGACAGAAGTCTTCACATGTGCAAGTGGTAAGTAGAAAACTACGGGGGTAGCTTCTATGGCTCAAATCGGATTTGACCTTAGCATGGCTTTGGCTGTATTACTCTCTCGATTTGATAGAGACATGGCCCAAGTCAAGCGGACGACAATGGATAGGGGCTCGCCGGTGTTTACGTCTTGTTTCTGTTTAATAGGGCAACTTTCACTCTACAGTGATTTTCCAAATCACACATCAGACGGGTATCAAGAGGAGACCAAGAGCTCACGATATGTCATATGCATGTAGTATATGATACGTATCGACGTCGAAGTCTAATGCTTACGACTGCCCATGTGAGCACTCTTCAGAGATCAGTGTATGTGCTCCATGAATAAAGGTGAATGGGCAGTTAGACAGGGGAACCGAGGCAGCTTAGACTTGGCTCATGGATTTTGATTGCTCACGTTCACTAGAAGCTCATCGAATGCGGCGCCATAAGCACAGTGATTAAATCTAATCAATGACCTAAGAGTCAGAAAATGCTAGCTGTAATATAACATCACTGATTTCCTGCAGGGTTTCGTGTGTTGTTGAGATCGAGACCAGTTGAACTTAAATACCAACGGAATATGACAATCGATGTCATCCATACCAAGTTTATCATCTTCATGTTTTATGCGCTAATACTGTTCGTTGGTTGACAGTCCGGTTCAAAATATATGAGTTCCCAGACATTGATAAGAATGGAACCCATATTTAGTCTGAAAGGCAGTTTGCTAAATCTTTATGTCGCAAGCATTAGGAACTGCTACTACCGTGTGTCTTTCAATTTGCAAAATGTTTTGTTGCACAAGATCTCATAATTGATGTTAACATTATGAGCAATGGTTGCACGATGCTAAGGTCTTAAAATACTCCATGGCAATTCTCTAGCCATGTAAAATGCGTATGATATTGACAACCATGTATTCATATTCATTGTTAAACTCGTTACACCGAGAAACTGCATTAATGGTAGATCTATTTTTGCTGCAAAGATCACCATTGACGACCGTGGCTTGTGAATTCGCTAAGCATCAAGCTTAGTGTACAATTATAGCATTGCCCATGCTAATAGCCGACCACCTCGAGTTTGTGACCTCACCTTTCCCTCGATAACCTGATGCGCTTTCCATGTTGCCCACTCGTCGATGGAACGCGTCTTTATCTCTTCATCCTCTGCCAAAGGGGCAATCACAGTGCTCTGAAGACGATACATAGATCCATTATGATCCGGTCGAACGAGATACACTAAACTGCGAAGTATACAATTTGCTTGTTTTCCAGGTGGTGTGACAATACGATGGGGATTGCTACATAGCAGCCCTCCTGCCTATTCCACAAGCGAGTCTCCAATATTGATCAGGGTACATCCAGGTACTGTAAGCACATAACGCCAGTTGGAGCTGATGTTCTCGCTTCCTGCGGGCAATACCTGGAAACCTCCAACTACGTGTAATAGCATGGCGATTGTCCCGATGTCAGTGTGACCACCTAGACTGATGGTTTTATCATTAAGAGGCTGTGGGCGTGCCATGAGGGGACGAAGAGATTTAGCTGAGGACTTCTCAAAAGGAGTAGTATTCTTACTAGTATTACTCGTATTATGTACATTGGTTCATATGATAATACATATCAATATTTTCGAAATTATTTATATAAGTAATATTGATTTATATATTATTAAAGATATTTAATATTACTTTTATATTGAATATCAATATAAGTGATATAATCCCTCTTTATATATATATATAAGATATTGTATTAAAGGTTCGATATGTGCTATTGTTATACTACTGTATACTAGTATAAACACTGCTCATGGCTATCAGAACCCTTCATGCCCACCTGATTTACTTTCTCTCCCTCTCTCCCAGCGTCATAACACACTTACTCACCTCTAGCCTTTACAAACTCCATCATAGACGACGCCTACACTCAAATTTTTCGAAGAATGTCCTGAGTTCCCGACTGATGTACCCATTGCCGATAAACCCACGATCTCGTACCTTAAACTTCAGGGTGACTTCGCAGAGGAGCCAGAAAACTTTTACTAGGCATGCAGGGAACATGGATTTTTCTTGCTCAATTTAAATAACTCTGAGGAGGAAAAGAAACTGTTGGAAGATGCAGAGATTATGTATGATGTTAGTGTTGATATATTCAACCTTGGATCTGACACTTTGATTGACTATAAGTTGAATATGCCGAAAGATCCGAATGGGTAAGTTCGAACTCATAATCATCCTTAAATCCGCTCACACTTACACTAATTTGTTACCACCAATAAAGTTACAAGCCAGCTGGAGTTCTCAAGACAGATGACGGCAAAATGGATGCTGTGGAACTGTATACACTTAGTCGAAACGAGGTACTTGGTACACGGTCTACGTGCCGAGATCCAGAGAAATTTCAAAAACACCGCGCAGAGTGCAAACGATTTTTTCTTCGTCTACATGAAGTTCTATCGCGGATTATGAATCACCTCGACAAACATCTAGGCTTAGCTCCTGGTACACTATCTGCGCTTTCTCCTTTCCAGTGTTTGTATTAATATATAGTAATGTAATAATAGTGTGTATTAAGCCTTTAATATGATATCTTATATATATAAAGAGGGATTATATCATTTCTATTGATATTCAATATAGAAATAATATTGAATATTATTAATAAAAAAATGAGAATATAGGAATTCGATCTAAAATGCCTCTTTTCATTCTAAAATAAATTAAGAATTTATCAATATCTTTTGGAGTGTTTATTCCTAAATCTATCTTAGTGATATTTAATATTATTTCTATATTGGATATCTTTAGTAATATATAAATTGATATTACTTATATGAATAATCTCGAAAATATTGATATATATTATTATATGGATTAATATATGAAATGCGAGCAATATTAGTAAGAACATTGGCTATCAGTTGGACACTAGATTTTCACTTCAAGATTCGAGTAATAACGGTTGGTATGTAGTCAGATGTTGGTATATGGAGTATGATTCTGGGCATATTGGTATGAGATGTATTATTATTGTTAGAGTTACTTTTTGCTCGTCTTAATATCTTTGAAATCTATCTTGAAAACGTTTCTAAATATTTGAATTTGATTGAATAAAAAGTGTGTTCTATTTTTTTCAAAAAACAGATATAATGCGTTAAATAAAACTTTTTTACATCTAGAAGGGTTTACTCGAAAAAGATTTGTTTTCTATTTCTGAAAATAATATCAAATGATTATAAATATAAGAATATACTTGGAGTATTCTGATTCATTGTATTATACACTCTTATAATCTTTCCTATACTTTTAGTTTATATCACGAAAACTATATTAATAATAATTTAGTGTCTTTTTATTTATATTAACAATCCATACCAAAAAAAGCAGGAGAGCAATAATTCTACATATGTTCTTCTAATCAATAGTTCAAGCTTCCCAAATATATTTTCTTAGGTTTATATAAATACAGAGGTTTTTAACAATTTTTTTTCTTTATATCTAAAGCATACTATGAATATAAAGAACAATTGTATAAAGTAATCTCTAATATTTTGATTATTTTTTTCAGATCTTTTATAATTTTATTTAATTATAAAAGATAATACCGGACTTTTTTTTTAATAAATTCAAATATTTTAAAAAGTGAGATAAATAACTCAAACTTTGAAGGATCCAATTTTGAACTATAAGTGTTACTCTACAAAATATATTCTATCTCGTATATTTTCTAAAAAATCATATGAATATAATTTGTATTTTTCTCTAGTGTGAAATGTTAAATGTATTATTATTTACTTGGTTTATAGCAGATGTACTCCTATTCTTATCTAGTTTAAGAAGATCTATACTATCAAACATATATAGAATGAAACAGATGAATAACCTTTGTAGAATATTGATGACTATATTAAACATCTCTATTGAGTATTGTAGGAATTTGAGTGATGTGGATCTGATGTATATCTATACCTGTACTATATAGCTTTCAGTATTACAAAATCAAAAAGGTTAGTATTTCTATATTTTATCAAAACATGAATTTTGAAATTATTTAGGAATCTCGTGCTTTCTGAAATAATAATTTGTATTTTTACTTGAATAAAATAAATCTAGTATGAACCTGTAATAATGTTTTAGGATATTTATGTCGCTTGACTTTTATTTTATTGAAATACACAGTACGAGGTAAGATAATTGTCTTAATCTAGAGCTTTTAGACAGGGGAAAGGCTCTTCTATATATAAAATGAACATAATTATATACTATATATACTAAAAATAGGATTTCAATATTTCTTTCTCCGCCGAACGTTAATAAGAGCTACTACTGCTACTACTACTACTACTACTACTACTACTACTACTACCACCACCATTATCACTACTCAATGTTTCTTTTTATAATTATTTATAAGCAACTTTAAGCTGATAGAATTCCTATTCTTTTTGTCTCATTAAACGATTGAAACAAGTTTCTAATGTACATGTAAATAATTTAATTTACTAATATAAATAATTTAAAACACATTTCATAACGAGAAGCTGATTTATTAAGAAAAAGTATCAATGCTCTACATACTTAATCAATTTGGAGGTTCGGGGGATATGATAAGAGAGATACAGAATCTTAAGAAATTTAAAAGAGATTTAGAAGATATTTAGAAAAACTATTGAGTGTATTAAATTTAATAGGTACATTAGATTTATTAGATTTATTAGATTTAGTGGTGCAATCAGCGACCATATTCGAGCCAGAAACGAAAGGTAAGCAAAGTATTACTATTATTATTAAGCTAGTACACAGATTACCACTTCAAAAAGCTTACAATCTCTAAATAACTTCAAGTTTCATAATTATATATGATATAGAAATAGAAATTTTGTTAATTTTAGGATTCTAAAAGCTATACAATACAAGTATAAATGTAAATGCTAAATAACATTAAAAATAAATATAAAGAGTGTTCGCAAGTTTATTGTTATTTTTAGCTATAAAGGGCTGAGAAAAAGGTTGTGGATATGATAACATCTAAAAAGCAATTGTGAGAAAAGGATAGCTAAGGGAAAGATCAATCAAATGGATCTAGTGTTTTTCATTATGTTTTCAAGATTTCTGGAATATTAGATTTACTAAGAAAGATAAGTCTTATATTATAACAAAGATTTATAATAATGAGGATAAATTCTCATAATATCTCATTGAAGAATCTGAGAATAGACATTACAAAAGTCAATATAGAAACCAATTTCTTTTTTTAATCTATATTCATAAATATTCTCAATATAAAAACTTTCACACTTCAGAAAATCTTGAAACTTTCTCTAATTTCCAAGTTAAATACATTAGATTTTCTGTATATCTTGAGTATTTTAGATTCTTAATACATCTTTGAAGGATTGATATATCATTATCTTAACTGTAAACTGAACCAAATTGTATTATTATATCTCAATTATCACAAGTTTTTTCTCGATCCTTTATGCCTAAAGATAACTACGAGCTTAATAGCACTATCTACAAATATTTTTAATACTATTCGGGATATTTACTAATATTTATACCATACGATTTTCGAAATACTAAATTTAAGGAAGATTTCTACTATCTAAATAGCGATTTTTAAAGTTTTTTTCAAAGATTTAAAGCTTTTTGAGAGAATTATTTATATACTAACATAGGTGAAACATATCTGATCTAAGCTTTTAATAAATACTACAATGATAAATCTGATAATAACAAATCTAATGAAAACAAATCCAATAAGAAAATTGATTATAATAAATCTTCCAAATCTTCTAAATCTTCTTTTTAGTTTTTGATTCAAATAGAGGTGCCAAAGGTGTCATTAAGCTCAAAATTTAATAACTCTATTGAATCTATGAATCTATAGTATACTTAGATTTCTTGTCTATAAATCTAACAATAGTTCTAAATATCGCTTCTCAATAATATCTTTAAACAATAATTTTATAATAATGACACAATCTATTGAGAGAATATAATACTTACATTAATGTTCTCTTAATTCCCATAGCCTGAATGGTTTGAATATCTCTAGATAATTCTGTCTTCACATACAGTTCAAAATTGATCAGAAAAAACTTTCGACAAATGCGTTAATATTCAATATCTGATTTTATAAATGAGAAAGAATTAACTTGGAGGTTTTTGACATCCGTAATATAAATCAGAGAAGATTGATACTTCTTCTATATGCATACTCTCATAAATGGATTTAAAACACAATTTCAAATATGAAGATGTATATTTCAAAACCTCGCAATACTATATAGATCGTATGTTTATAAAACCATACTAATATATCGATTTCAAATTCAAGAAATTTATTATAATATTATTGAAAATTGATGTAATAGATAATGTTATTATAAAAAGCTTATTTCAAGAATAAGGTTTATATACAATATTTCTAAATAACATTCATCTTTTGACGAATCGATTTTAAAATATTACCAATTATTTTATAATATAATTTTCTTACAAAAATTAAATTATACTGATTAATTTGGCTTATAAGATCTAGTTGCTAGAATTAAAAAGCTTATAAAGTACAATCATAAGAATTAAGAAACAATACTTTTGTTATATTTCCAAAAACACTTCTTTTCTTTTTCGTTTTTCAAATTGAAATATTGATTGAATATTAACATTTTATACAACTCATGATATTACGTATATTCACTATTATATGAACTTTAAACTCGAAAAATTATAAAAAAGACGAACAAAGTTTGTTTATTGAAATATTAATATTATTAGATTTTGAATTATAATATTACGATAGTTGATAATATATTGAATCCTTTCGTGTATATAAATCAAAATGAGTATAAGAATGAAATCAATTTAAAATACTATATTGTAACTTTTTTTTAACATAGAATTATTCTTCTTAATTGAAGATTTTTTGAAAATATTCCTAAGTCATTTTATCTTCATTTAATAAGAGAGTTTTTGGATAAACCTTTTAAATATCATCTTATAAATCTTCATTTTTTCGTAATTTATAGTAAATTACTCTTCTACTAGTAAAGTTGATCTAAATTTACTTCTATATTATTTAGATTCTATAATGTCTAAAATCTATAGTATGATACTAGAATTCACAATTTTTGAATTTATAAAACTTACTATAAATTTTAGGGTTTCAATATAAGTTCTGTACTTTCAATAATCAGAAATACAGAATCTTGATTGATACCTGAAATCTAGCCTTACATTGTTAAATGATTCTCATTTCCCAGTTTTAGAATTTGAATTTCAAAGGTAGATTTCATGAACTCTATATCTCAAATCCCAAAATTTAGGTTTCAGCTCTAGAATTATCTAATTATATACTAAAATCCATATATGAACCTTGAATATGAATGATTAGAATATAGGAGGTATAGAATTAAAACAACATTAATTTCAAATATAAAAGAATATTTCATTGAGATTCCAATAATATAAAATCAATGCAACATGTTATAAATAATTCGCATTACAGATAACATATCTCTTATATTTTCAATCAATTATA